GACGCCGAGGGCCGGGCACCGGGGGCGGTGGCGCGGGTGGACGGTGGCTCGGGCGTGGCCATAGGGCCGGCGAAGGCGTGGAAGGACGGTGGCTCAGGCGCGGGCACGGGACCGATGGCGGGGTGCGGATGCGGGAGGCCGGCGGCGTGGCATGTGTGCCTGAGTGTTGGAGTGCCTGCATGTGTGCGTGAGTGTTTGGGTGCGGACACGGGAGCAGTTTTGCTGGATGAGAGAAGAAGGAAAAGAAGGAAGGAAAATGAAAAAAAAACAATGTTTGTTGAGTGCCCCCGATCTGGCACTCGCCAAATCAAGGTATGCCAAGTGTCAGATCAGGACACTCGGCAAATCCTAGCTTTGCCGAATGCCAGATCGGGGGCACTCGGCAAACATTGTTTTTTTCTTCATTTTCCTTCCTTTTTTTCCTTCTTCTCCATAACGTGTTTTTCTAAATTTGTTCTGATGAACCTTGAAAATACCTTGTCTAATTCACTCAACAATATATATTTGATTTTTCTACGAATATTATTCCATTATTTCATTTTATTCTATTATTTGAATCACTTGCAGTTCAAATTTGAGTTATACCAAAAAAAACTCCTTGACATGCATTAAATTAATTAAATATAACAAATGGATCCAGAAATATACCAAATCTTAACATGGAGTACCACATCTTGTATGTGGAGAGTAGAAAATTTTTCAAGGTCAGAAGTGAAAAAAACTTATTATTTCAAGTAGTTTGTCGCTCAAATTCAATGTATATCAATTAAAATTATATGATTGCACTTAATAAATTAAAATGATCAAATAGATCTAAAAAATTACCAAAATTACACATGAATCAATCTATGTTCTCTATTGCCTATACAAAAAGTTTTGAAGTCAAACCCTAATTCGACCGTCACTTTGACTCCAAATCTTACCGAATCCTTCTCAACGCTACGATTCTTCATCTGAGATACTTTGGTTTGTAAACATCATACGTGACACATTGTGCGAAACTTTCTCAATTTTTTTACCACCGCCTCCAAGTATGATATCATGAGATCTTGACAAATCTCATGATTTTGATACTTTGTTTGTTTTTTAGAATTTAAAAACCATTCGGCCACACGTTCGTGGTTAGGTTTTGTGAACAAGATGTTCCAAATTTCCTTTCATTTCCCGGATAAGGCCTCATACGAGACTCAATAACATGAATATCATTTTTCTACTCATTTTATTATATTATTTGAATCACTTGCGGTTCAAATTTGAGTTATACCAAAAAATTCCTTGAAATACAATAAATTAATTAAATATAGCAAACGGATCCAGAAATATACCAAATCTTAACATGGAGTACCACTTGTTGTATGTAGAGAGTAGAAAAAATTTCAAGGCTAGAAGTGAAAAAAAACTTATTATTTCATGCAGTTGTAGCTCAAATTCAATGTATATCAATTTAAATTCTATAATTGCACTTAATAAATTAAAATGATCAAACGGATCGAAAAAATTACCAAAATTACACATGAATCAATCTATGTTCTCTATTGCCTATACAAAAAGTTTAGAAGTCAAACCCCAATTCGATTGTCATTTTGACTCCAAATCTTACCGAATCCTTCTCAACGCTATGATTCTTCTTCTAAGATACTTCTGTTTGTAAACATCGCACATAACAAATTGTGCGAAACCTTCTAATTTTTTACCATAGCCTCCAAGTATGATATCATGAGATCTTGACAAATCTCATGATTTTCAGACTTCGTTTGCTTTTTATAGAATTTTAAAACAATTCGGCCACATGTTCGTGGTCGTGTTTCGTGAATACGATGTTTGAAATTTCCTTTCATTTCTCGAATAAGGCTTCACACTGGACTCAAGAACATGAATATCACTTTCCCACTCATTTTATTCCATTATTTGAATCACTTGTAGTTCAAATTTGAGTTATACCAAAAAATTCCTTTAAATGAAATAAATTATTTAAATATAGCAAACAGACCGAGAAATATACCAAATTTTAACATGGAGTACCACGCACTATATGTAGAGATTAGAAAAAGTTTTGAGGGATGAAGAGGAAAAAAAGTTTAGACTTTGCCGAGAGCCAACCAAATACACTCGGCAAAATGATTACTTTGCCGAGTGCCATAATGAAACACTCGGCAAATAATGTCTTTGCCGAGTGTCACTAATGGACACTCGGCAAAGTGCTAAAGGCAGGGCGATCTAGCTGGCGGCCGCTGCACGACCGGCACACGTGCTGGTATTTTGCCGAGTGCCTGATATTTGCCGAGTGTTTCTTTATTATTTGGCGAGTGTTTACTTTAGGGCACTCGACAAAGAGGGTTTTTGCCGAGTGCCTTATTTTTGCCGAATGTTTCCACGGCGGCACTCGACACACAACAGGTTTGCTGAGTGCCTGATGGAATGAACTCGGCAAACCCTCAGGCACTCGGCATACCTATTATTTCCGGTAGTGAAGGGTTGAGATTGGAGGAGATGATTATCGAGTTGCATATACTCTGGTAAATTCATGCCGTGTCTATTAACTAGTTTAAATTTAGATGCTGGTGATATCGTGGATACATGCATGTACTAAGTTATGGTGCATACATATTTGTTTAATTGATCGCAACACCATTTGCGATAACTTCGAATAACATTCTTTCAATATATAGGTGATGGTCGATCCTGATGCTCCTAACCCAAGCAACCCAACCTTGAGGGAGTACTTTCACCGGTAAAGGGCCTGTAGGGTTCCTGAGGTTCCGAAGCCTGGATCTATTCCGGCTAGGAACACTTATCTAATTTATATAGACAACTCTCAACCAGAAATTATTCCTTCCCAGAACTAGCCTAAACGAACGAGCCCTAAGAGAGAAAGACCTAGAGACACTGTTGTTGGCACGTTGTGCCCACATATACTGTGATACTGTATATGCACTTATGCTTCTCCACAAATTTTGATACATGTCTCAAGAGAGATAAGGTATATGTTATGTAAGTCCTTTAAAAATTGTTTGATCCAGTAATTTTTTGGGATCCGATTGCTCAATTCATTAATATCGATATCATATGGTAGTAACTTTCAACCATTTCATGTTTCGAGCAGGATGGTGACTGACATCCCAGCATCAACTGACAATACATACGGTGAGTACACCAGTGTTCCCATTGTGCAACAAGTACAATGGCATGTCTATTTTTTATGATTCAGCATGTGCGTGTGTGAATAAGTGGCTATTTTGAAATTCCGAGTGCATAAATAATTCTCGATTTTGTATATCCGAAAACACAACCGATCTCTATTCATATATTGTTTTAGTTTGATTTGCAAAATCACCCTCAACATCATATAGCCACTCGATCGATCATCTCGATTAGTGTTGAGTATCCGTGCAATCTACTTGCCCGCTTGATTATCATGCATGTCCTTGATTAGATAATTCATATTTTCTCATTTCTGCATGCTTGTTCTAGTTTTATCTGATGAATCGAAGGTGTTATTGATCAATGAGTGCAGATGCAATAACGTGCAATGGAATTCAGGTAGTATACATAGGTTTAAAGTTTTGCTGAAATTCACAAAGTTTGGTAATTTCGGTGGTGGCCGATAGAGAAAATTGTATCCTAAATTGTATGTAATTAGTGCATATGAATATGCCCAAGCTATCTATCCCTAATAAGTTTTAGGATATATGAAGTCTCTCAACCAAACTCTTGAAACCGTATGAAATTCTATTGGGTTGAAGTTGTAATATATGTTGTGGGTCCATATGTCTTAGATCAATTCTCTTGGGAGACAATAATAAGAAAAAAAATACCATGATATTATGCATCGAGAGAATTGTATCATTCTTTTACATGACATGGTAGCATTGTGCAGTACATGACACTGCAAGGAAAACTGCATTTGGAGTAGCGTTATATGATGTTGCACATGTTTGGATTAATAAGTTAAGCCATCATAATTGTTTGATGTTAAAACTCAAACTTTGCAAGCTTTAACCAGCAACCAATCACCTTATGTAAATCCGTAGTTTATAAAAAAATAGATAAACAGATTTGTTTTCAAAGAACTGTGTTGAGATGATTCTGAATTTATCTCAGTTAATATTAAATTTTGAAGTCAAAATCTAATTCTAGAGACTTTCTCCCACGAAGATGCAGGTTATATTGATCAGATGAAGGAATATAATCGCATGGACTCTGATGTGTTAGAAATTCTGGTCCCTTACTCTATCTGTCGCAAATTAAATGAATTTCTAGAGTTTTTATAAGGACGGAGTGAGTACTTATTTTTGAAGTCAGGCAGTCAGCCACAAAATGGTGGTTCCAATTTATATACATCTCTCTTCTACTCCAAACAGAAGAACCTAATCCTGAATCCTGAAGGATGGTTATTTTGAAAGTGATTTTTTCCACATCAGCAGCAGTAGTTCAGAAAATGGGAGGAACTTAACAGTGAAAAGGAAGGAGAAGAATGATTACGTTATTTGTACTTGCTTAACTATTGGGACCCAAAATAAAATAATTGTTCGTAACTCTATCTGTTGATTCAAAAGTGTAACGATGATTATTATTGTTTCAAAAGAAAATAAAAGAGTGTAACGATGATTGGATAGGCTACTAAGAAAATTTGGTTGACGTACCATCCAACATGGTGAAAATGCTCTAGAAATTAAACAATCTTCGAGGGGTTACCAGTTTTAATTGTTGCACTTCGTCACTATTAAGTACCCCTCTATTCTAAATTATAAGTCATTTCTTACTTTTCTATATGCACAACTTTATTACGTATCCACACATAACTTATAATATATCTAGATGTATAGCAAAAACTAGTGTAACTAGAAAAGCTAAAACGTCTCATAATTTGGAACCCCAAAAGTAGCTACTGGGACAGATGGGTCCGCATGTAGACGCTGATGAGAGTGTTAATAATTGGATTTGCAGGCCGCTAGATAATGTGCTACGAGCCCCCTGCCCCTTCGAAGGGCATCCACCGGATGGTGCTGGTGCTATTCCAGCAGATTGGCCGGGAGACTGTATTCGCGGCGCCGTCGAGGCGCCACAACTTCAACACCCGTGGCTTCGCCCGGCGCTACAACCTCGGCGTGCCCGTCGCCGCCATGTACTTCAACTGCCAGCGCCAGACCGGCTCCGGTGGCCCCAGGTTCACCGGGCCCTACACCAGCTGCCGCCGTGCGGGCTGACGATCTTTGATCGGTCGTCGTCGTTACGTCACATGTACCTATATATATATATATATATATATATATATATATATATATATATATATGCATTCCATATGCGTGTAGACGGTAGACGGTTTTGTCACCGATATATATATATATATATATATATATATATATATATATATATATATCGGTGACAAAACTATATATATATATATATATATATCGGTGACAAAACCGTCTACCGTCTACACGCACATGGAATGCATGTAATAATCTCTGCAACTAAAACGTATGGATTGTCAACGTTTATCCGGCAGCACCAAACACCCCTCGACACAAGTTTATCCGGCAGCACTAAAAACTTCCCATATAATCGCTTCCCTACCGGCGCAATTAAAGGAAAGAAACCTAGAATGCCTCTGGCTTTTTTTACTGTGCATGCGAAGAAACCGTGGCTGCGGCAGAGGGAAAAACGTCCACTAGAAGCTGTGGGCTGTAGCAGTTCAGTATGAAAGGCAATGCCGTACTTGAGGAGGGAAAAAGAAAATTAATATGGAAGGCAATGTCGTGATTGATTGATTGAGGACGAAAAAAAATTAATTGCACGTCATCGCAATCATCTCCAGACGCCTCTCTGAACCATGCCACCGCCCTCTCCTTGGCCCCTCCCTGCGGCGCAGAGCCACCGCCTCCAAAGGAATCGTCTATGTATGGACATCGTGGCCCCGCTCCCCCAATCGATTCCTTCCCCTACCACGCTGGATGGGCGTCAAGCGACCATCGGTAAGAGACATGCCTCCGCCTCTAAATCAGCCGCTACCACTACTGTTGTCGCCGGCGATGATGATGCCTCTCACCCTCACGTCGTTCTCTAACTGCAATAGTCATCCTTCTCTTTATGTTGGACACCTCATCTCTAGGTCTGTCTCGCCTTTGCTATCGTCATGATTCCTCTTGCATCCGTTGTAAAGAGCGATTTGTTCTAAGATTTGCTGGTTCTTGTGGATTTATTTGCTGCATTCAAGTGATGGTATGATGATGGAGCACTCTCGGGGACTGCCGGCGCCGGGGTTGTCCGAGCACTCTCGGGGACTGCCGCTGCAGCTTCACATGTTCACCGCCTCCCCTGCATCTCTGCACCGGCCAGCATAGCCGGCGAAGGCGTCTCGGCGCTCGAAGGTGGCGGAACCGCTGGTCTGTCGTCATCAGTTGAATCTGACAGAACCATCTACTGCCTCCGGGGCTGGCCGGGACCACCAATGCTAACTGGCCCCTCCTTACCCTAGGAGGACCTCACCATCTTCCTCCTCTTCGAGGATAGCTCTTCTTTAGCTGGTTGCTTCCCTCGGAGCTTCTCGAGGACCGCTCATCTTCATCTACGGCTCCATGGTTCTCCGACCCTTCTTCATCAACATCCGAGCTGGTCTAACGCTGGGGACTGCTCGGCCAGGCATCTATGGCTCTCGGCCACTCCTCCGACGGCACCGCTGAGAAGTGCACCGCTCGATCTTACCCATGAATCTTCAACAACACAAATGAATACATTGCATAACAAAAAAGACCAAGTAAACACCACAATAAGACTTTTACCGTTGGGGGAGATTTTCGACGCTAAGGGCCCTCTGTTGATCCCTCACGGACAACCAACCCGTGAGATTGAACAACATCATGATCCGGCGCTTGACTTCGTCCAGGTCAATCTCCTCGGGCACCTCGCGAGTCCCATCAGTATCACCCCGGAACAAAAATCCAAGGTGCGCCCTCTCTTTATAGGGCTGGATCCGCCCGAAGGTGAAGTTCATCGCCACAATGACTCTGTTGAGCCTCTTGTGTTTTATCAAACCTAGGAGCTCCCTCACCTACTCCATCCCATTGGAACTAGGCCTCCCACCACTAGAAGTTACTCACTGGAACCTGATCGATGTCGCACGCCACATATGGCTCCACTTGCCTAATATAGAACCACTTTGAAGCTCAATACTTCACGTTTGTGTTCAGGGGAACGGAGATGTACCGGCTCACCATCTCGTCCTGTAGCTGCAGACAAGCACCCCTGACCACTCGGGAACCAGTCCCTCCCTTGACTTTGAGACAAAAAAAGTGGCGGAACAGATCGAAATGGGGATGAATCCCAAGGTACGATTCATAAAGATTGATGAAAATGTTGACTTGTAAGATGGAATTAGGGCCAAGATTGCAAAGGCTGATGTTGTAATAGGCAATTAGTTCATGGAGAAAGGGATGAATCTGAACACCAAATCCATGGTAGAAGTAATCCTTGAACATGACCAACTCATCGGTGCGAGGTGTAGGGAAGTCCTCACTAGTCGCCGGGTAGCACCCTCCATCACCCTATCGGGCAACACGCCGCGCACCACCAGGCTATTCAGCCCGCCTCACTACTAATGGACAGTACCCACTCCTCGTCCCGATGGATCCCGTGGGCCGCTTTCTTCGAACTCCCGTGGCCTCTCTTCGGTGCCATTGAACAGATCTAGGAGTGGATCGGAGGTTGCTTGGTGTTTGGATCTACCCCAGCGGCAGAGCGGTTGCAGATTGGGAGATGTGCGTGTGTGTGTGAGCGCAAGAAAGATGATGAGGCGACGGAGAAATGGGGAGTGTGCGCTCTAGAGCCACAACGGATTTATAATGGTTCGACCCCCTGACCCTTTGCCTTCCAGGGTTTTTAGGAAACCGCACCTACCGCGCCGCGTCCATTCCTGAATTCTCTACGCACCATTGTAAGGTCCTAATGGCTAATGGGGGTGAATAGCCTATTAAAAATTTCTACAACAACACTTAGCAAACCAGTTAGACAAATATGAGACAAAGCGAGTGTTGCGCTAGCCTACTAAAAATGCAAGCCACCTACTACAATTCTAGTATCTATAGTGTCTATCCACACAATGGCTATGTCACTATACTAAGTTAGTGTGCTCTCAAATGCTAACTAAAGAGCCACACTAACCAAACTAACAAGCTCTCACGACTAGCTACACTAAAGAGCTTGACAATTAGTTTGCGGTAATGTAGAGAGAGAGAGCAAGATGGTTATACCGCTAAATCGAGGACTGAACCAATCAATCACAAGAATGAATACCAATGAATACCAATCACCTCGAAATCAAATGATGACACAATGATTTTTACCGAGGTTCACTTGCTTGCTGGCAAGCTAGTCTTTATTGTGGCGATTCACTCACTTGGAGGTTCACACGCTAATTGGCATCACATGCCAAACCCTCAATAGGGTGCCGCGCAACCAATACAAGATGAGGATCACATAAGCCACAAGCAATTTACTAGAGTACCTTTTGGCTCTACGTCGGGGAAAAGGTCAGAAACCCCTCATAATCACCACGATCAAAGCCAGAGACAATCACCAACCTCCGCTCGATGATCCTCGCTGCTCCAAGCCATCTAGGTGGTGGCAACCACCAAGAGTAACAAGCAAATCCCATAGCGAAACATGAACACCAAGTGCCTCTAGATACAAACACTCAAGCAATGCACTTGGATTCACTCCCAATCTCACAAAGATGATGAATCAATGATGGAGATGAGTGGGAGGGCTTTGGCTAAGCTCACAAGGTTGCTATATCAATGTAAATTTCCAAGAGAGTGAGCTTGAGTCGGCCAAATAATATTTATAGACACCCCCAAACAATAGAGCCGTTGCCTCAATTATTGGGCTATCTACGGGACGACCGGACGCGCAGGTCGTGTGCACCAAACGCGTCCGGTGTGGTGACCAGATGCGTCCGGTCGCTGCCTGACTACAATGTGTCCCTTTCAAATTGTTTAGCCATTGGCGCCCAATGGCTATCACTGTGAACAGTAATACTATGTGATTGGACGCGCTGTTAGAAAACAACCGAACGCGAAAGACGTAGTGTCCGATGGAGTCCAAAGAGCTCCCAGAGCCGCTCTAGGCCGACCAGACGCATCCAGTCACACCGGACCGGACGCTCCCAGCTTCCGATCAATTATTGCGCTGAAAACTGGAGACTTGCTGGTTCACACCGGACACGTCCAGTGTGGCGACCGGACGCGTCCAGTCGGTCTCTACAATCCTGCATCGGGCTGTATCACTTTGACCTGACGTTGAACAGTAACTCACCAGCATCCGGTCACTCCACTGAGCTAGAGTCCGGTCGCTTTCACTTAGTCGCTCACCTCAGGTCCAAATATTGGACGCATCCGGTCCTGATTCCGGACGTGTCTGGTCATACTGGACATGTCCGGTACCAATTTCAGACGCGTCCGGTCACTCTGTGACCAGCGCGACTAACTCCTTTTCAACTCTATCTTCTTTATCCTTGCTCAAATGTGCCAACCACCAAGTCTATCACCTTGTACACATGTGTTAGCATATTTTCACAAATATTTTTAGGGGTGTTAGCACTCCACTAGATCCTAAATGCATATGCAATGAGTTAGAACATCTAGTGGCACTTTGATAACTGCATTTCGATACGAGTTTCACCCCTCTTAATAGTATGGCTATCGATCCTAAATGTGATCACACTCGCTAAGTGTCTCAATCACTAAATCGAAAAGCTCCTATCAATTTCACCTTTGCCTTGAGCTTTTTGTTTTTCTCTTTCTCCTTTTCAAAGTCCAAGCACTTGATCATCACCATGGCATCACCATCATCAAGTCATGATCTTCATTTGCTTCACCACTTGGAATGTGCCACCTATCTCATAATCACTTTGATAAACTAGATTAGCACACAGGCTTTCATCAATTCCCCAAAACCAAACTAGAGCTTTCAATCTCCCCTTTTTTGGTAATTGATGACAACCCTTTCACAAAGATATGAATTGAAATTCATTTAGATCCATGTTGCTTGCCCAAACATATTTACTATGTGTAAAAGGATATGGACAAGTTTCATGAATCTCATGTGGTAGCAATTGCTCCCCCTACATATGCGCTAAGAGTTTGGATTGTAGCTTGCACATATGCTTAGATAGGAAATATAGGAGACAATGTCTACCAAATGATGCTAA